TAAGATACAGGTAACTCACTGGCTCTCACTTTCACTGACTTGAAGTGAAAATAAAAATTAATAATAATAATAAAAATTTAGGACACATTTTTACACAACGTTCTCTAGTCCCAAACTAAGCAACGCTTGCACTATAGGGTACTAGAAAACTGATAGACATATTTAAACATACTTTTCTTTTATAAATAAATACATATTAGAGATATGTAAACACCCAGACACCCGAAAAACATTATAATCGTACAATATTTTTACAGCTGAAGGTATCGAAAAAAAAAACAATAATACAAATGATAACTTTCAATCATTGACGAATAGTGTAGATCTGATCCTAAGAGATTGGTAAGAACAAAATAATTAACGTCAGTAATTACTAGAAACTTTTCTATAAGCAGTTAGGATTTGCTCTACATTTATTTTAGTTTTAAGTATGAGCCAAAATATCTCTAAATTTTGAAATAGCCTCCTAATGCTTTAGCCCTAGTATGTTTAGTTTATTTTGGGCCGTTTTATTATTTTACTTGAAACAATATCCGTACTACGTAACTTTCAGTATTACGCAATCGCTAGTTGACATTTATCCTATATTTACCTGTTTTTACCATCCTATATTACCAAGAATTTTGGATTTCGAATAGGACGAAGCTTTTGTAGATCCTCGAGGAGACCCTACAAAGCCTTTAATGTCACCGATGACCCCACGAAGTACCTTTTGAAAGGCCTCAAGAGTCCCTTTTTAGCCGAGGTACAGAGGAGGTAAATGAAAAAGCCCATTTGAATGGCGACCTCATGCAAATTGGAGATATGTTTATTTCCTTTTTTGTGCTTAATTTAACTTGACACAGGTGTCACATTGGACGTGCATGAATTTAAAAAGGCATATATTTGCGTACAAAAAACCGAGACACTTATTATGTTTGGGCACACATTCAAGATTTTGAATTACACAATGTAAACGACTATCCGAGGAGTTTTCAAGTGCCAGACGCTTTTAACAAATAAATCATGTAGGTTTCTTCAAGCGCGAATTTTCCAATGCTTTTTTTGCATTTCACCGGCTGGTAAAAGACGATTTACTGTATCTGATAAACGCACTTGCGACTACTACGACGCCTTATCTTCAATTACATAATTGGCTAGTACTATACAGACATTCTGACGCCTGCATTATGTAAACGCTCGAGTCACATCCCCTAGAACTTGAGAAATTAACAGACAATACAAACGTAATCCCTGTGGTAGGTCAACGCCCTGAAGTTCAGGCTAGGCAACCCGAGCGCCCGGCCACCTCAAGTCTTGCAAAACTGTAAAGGCCCTTAAGGCCAACAGTGGCTCATCAAGCCCAAAAAAAAAGGTCTACACAATAGTCTTCGTTGTTGCACGAATGGACAGGTCCGTGAAGTCCACCGTAAAAGACTCACAGAAGAACATCGTGAAATAGAGGTTTTATACTTCTGCTTTTCGTCTGGTGAGTTCGGGGTCAATTTATTGGTTACTTTAATATAAATAAAAGATGGCAATGCATCTGCAAACCTATTGGTGTTGCAAATGGGCGGCGGTTATCACTTAACATCAGGTAAACCTCCACAAATCTAGCTGCTTTCCATCTTCTTACATTAAAAAAAAACGACGTTGCGTGTTTATAAACTCAAGAAAAGAACGGACTCTCTCTAAAATATCGACCGTTGTCAGACAGTACTCGGACAAATGGCACATCACCTGCCAATACGTCGAGCGACCATTACGCGGTTCAGATTCTGTCGACGTCGCGCCGAAATAGTCTATCCGTTGATTGACACCGGCCGCTCAGAAGCACCGAGCGGCTCCGACGAGAGACAATGTACTAGATAATAGAGAAATATTCGATCGTGAACTCTTTCTGTGCTACCAAAAGTACATTTTTTTACAAAACATTCATTTACAAAATTGTACATTCATTTACAAAACGAGACTTCAAATATCTCGTATTCATTTTATAATTGATTTTCAGCACCGCAATTCTGGAGAAACATAATGTGTCGAACTTTTCAAGTGTCTGGGTGTTTATAAATCTTAAATATTTTTTTTACAAAACAAAAGTGTGTTTAAGTATGCTTATCAGTTACCTAGTATCCATAAGCTTTGCTTAGTTTGGGACTAGATCGCGTGGTTTTAAAAATATCTCCTCAAAACAACAATTCGTATACGTTTTTCGGCTCACAATATATCGCGTTTATACATCATCTTTGCTCCATTTGGGTCAGAAAACTAGTGTAGGTATATCTATTAAGCCGAGAAACTACAATAGAACTGATTGACAATTCTTGCCTCGTTATCAAAGCGTGAATGGCCCCGAATCGACGAAATTACCGCTCGCCGGGAAAGTTGCATAAAGCTGACACGACACTTAGAACGCTCACGGGATAATTGGGAAAGTTAATAATGGAAATAAACTATTGCGAAAAGAATGTAACGAGCGTTTCACGTTTGGAATAACTCCAACTACGAGCGCCGTTTTGAATTAAAAAAAAAATAAAACAACATTTAGCTCGCTGCGAATCTGCACATTTTTTAAGAATGCAAGGTTGCCATTTCTGCCGGGGCTCGTTTATGCAATATTCATCTTCGGACGTGTGCGCTTGTTAACCGATGTTAATCTGAGTTTTTAAAGAAAGAAAGAAAGAAAACATTTATTGCTCAAATACGCCACATAAAATAAACATAAAAATACGTAGTAAATAGAAAAAAAAAAGCGGAATAAAAAATATTAAACACATCACACATTTTACGCACACACTGCGTATACGGCAAACAGACCGCACTCAGCTTAATGCCGCAGTCGACGAGACTACAGCGCTGGTTACAGTTTTGAGTACAGTTCACTATTAAATGTGTGCTATATTAAATTGGATATTTTCACAAATGGACATTGATGCAATGGATATTAAAATCAATGTCCATGATTGAGATGACAAGAAAAAATTAGGAAGGAAATAAATTGAAGAAAAATAACCAAAACGTTTATGGGAATTAATTGAAGACCCCAAATTTTCCTTTTTTTTTTTTTCTCTTTCAATATCTTAACTAGCGACCCGCCCCGGCTTCGCTCGCGAGCAATGTTTTATACATATAAATTTGAATCACTCTATATAGGAAAAAAAACGCATCAAGATCCGTTGCATAATTTTAAAGAATACATAGGGACAGACAGACAGTGAGATGACTTTGTTTTATACTACTACGTAATGATTTTAAAAATCATACGCAGTTCAGTATAATTATGAATCGTGATAAAAACGTTTTGCATACACCAAATTGCACATTGACAGACACCCAGTGGTGGAAGGAACTTCACGTCCGCAATTTCATAATTTTTAATTTTTTTAGTCTAAAGTGAAAAACACTTTCCGTCCTCTTTTTTCTTATTGCTCTAATAAATTACGCTATCCTTTTAGAACGAAACGTGTAAATGTGGGTGGTGACGGGAAAAAAACTCTGTTTGGAAATAGGAATCTGTCAAAAACCGGCGATTTAGTATTTTCGTACATCGTAACATATATATATATATATAGCATGAAATATCATTACTTTTCTCAATATTAGAAGAACAAACACGTTCACCAGAAAAACCTAAGTCCAGCATATCTAGATAATATGAAGGATTTTAATACAATTTAAAAAAATATAGTCGCTAGCGTAAAAATAGTTACGAAACTTTCATTAGACACCTTACCAAGTACCGTAGAAACGAGCAGAAGTATCTCTATTTATTGTTTACACTGCGACTACGCCAACCGCATTGTTTACGAATAGTCCAAATTGTTTGGCCGATTGTTTACACTCGCCCGGTGACAGCCGATGTAAATAGTCAGACGGATGAATCGAAGCGGCCGTGGGTGACCTAGCGCCTCCAGACAAAGACAGACTCCAGACAAAGACAGACTCCAGACAGACAGACCTCAATACTATGTAGCATGTATGTAGTACCATAATTATTGCCAGAGACCTGAGATTGTGATAGTCGAGCCTGTTATATATAGCAAATGTGCCTATCGTGTCATCGGCAGTATACTATCAAATGTTGTACTTAGCAGAGATTGTTTACAGACCTCACCACGAGTAGGTAAATATGTCATCAGTGGTATGTACTAGTTTCAGCGGTGACACATATATAGGCTGTTACTAGACTTTACTTTTGCTAGAGACGATTGGTAACACATCTGAATAGTTAATAAAATATTGCCTTCCATGTTCTCTTTATATTTCTTGTACACTTTTTATGAAAATGGCGGTTGCCTTTATGTTGTCAGTTTTATGAAACAGTTTCGTTAGCTGCCAAGGATCTAGTCGCTTTCCCCTCACGTCCTTGTCGCATTCAAGCCCAGGTGACTCGATTACCATCTTATATGGAATCGTTAAATACACGGCCGACGAAACCGTCCTGCATTAGAATAACTTAGAGTTTATCAAACCCTTACATTACATGCCCGGTTCCTATATTCAACGAACGGCCGTTAGTTACATAACTTCGTAACTTTCATAACGACTCGTAACGACTTCATAATGACAATGTAAATAAATTGTCCGAAAATTTTCATCGCTATCCTACTTACTAATATTTCTTCTAGAAGCGATTCGATATTTTTATTTCGTTTAAACGTGGAGTGTCTATTTCACCTATACTGAAAAATGTTTTCATCGTAGGAAAGACACTATTCCATGTGGATATATGGCTATATATTATCGTCAACTAAGCCGGAAACCCGCTGGATAGTTTTTTAATAAAACTTACAATCATTTAATAAAAAATCATTTATTATTGTACCTTATACGTTATAAACTTTCGTGAGGAAACTTGAAATACGTGTGAAATATATTAGTGTCATTGAACTAGGGTTTGTGTGTAATATTACTTCTTATAAGAGTTCTAACGATTTTACCTTTATCCTAATATTTTAACTATTATAACTTGACTATTGATATTACTTATGTAATTAAAATTTACTTTTTTGCTTTTGCAGATGCACCATCCTATCCAGATGAAACCGGCTGACAGCGAGAACAGAAACGGTAAGTTTTAGTAAATAACATAGAAATAGAAAATTTCATTTAAAAATTTGATAAAGGTTATTTTAACAAACCAGAAAGTGAAAGGAAAACAATCACTTCAAACATTTTCAGCTCGTAATATTGATGGTGTAGTTTTAAATGGAAATCGTTTCCCAATAATTGTAAAAAATTGACGAATTAAGGAATCGCGAAGTGATACCTATAAATACCGTGATAGCTCAGTTCCGGGCGCTCGCCTTTAATTCAATCTACTCGAGCAACCTGAGTTCGGTGCGGGGGCACCAATGAAGTTTTTAACTTTAAGTGCTGACTTATCACGTGCTCCGCGGTGAAGGAAAACATCGTGAGGAAACCTGCATATTTTCGAAATAATAACAAAAAAAAATTCGAAGATATGTGAAGTCCGCCAATCCGCAGTGGGGCCACGTGGTGAACTCTGCCCTGATACCCTCTGTATAGGGGAGGCTATTGCCCAGCTGTGGGACATGTATGGGCTGTCAGTTTACTTTTTTACTTTTATAAAAATAACAATAATCGTGAAATGTGTATAGCTTTTTTGGAGTTCTCCTATGTCTTTAACATTGGAAGTTGGAAGATGATAGAAAACAATCTGTTTACTAAGGTTACTTTTTTACTTTTACCTATAAACCATTATTACTGGACGAGCTTGCAAAACGTTTAACTAATCACTGTCAAACTATATCAAAGGCTATTACAAGACTTCGCTATGACGTCATCTCGTTATGCGTAAAGAAAGTGTTTGCAATGCAAACACTCTCCTTCCGAATATCAGGTGAGCCTCATTAAGGTGAATGCGACTAATAAATAGGCTTTAACTTAATTACTTAAGACTGTTTTACGGATTTTCTCGCGTTTAATTTCGATTTTAAATTTCCGACACTTCGAAAACTACATGAAAGGTCGTCAGTCAACTGAGTTCTTTCACGTCCTTGCGTAATAGTTAGCTCGGGCTACCGTCAATTGTTTTATTTATTTTATCCTGATCCACGCAAAAAGAGCTTTGATATCTTAAGGCCTAGCAGTGTTGGAGCGCTTGGTTGGATTTAACTTTTCAAATTAGGATATCAAGGTGATGACTTGGCGTAAACGTTTACCGAGCCTATATCGGCCCACGCTATCGGGTAGGTTTATTGTCGAGTAAACGAATTCCTATTCCACGCGTATGTTGCACACAAACGTAACTATCGCCAGTATGTATGCAGGAAATATGTTTTCGCTCGACGCTATAACCACGGCGGGCGTTTCCAATTTCTTCACACCTAAAACATCTCCGCGTTGCGACGTTCAAAGTTGGCTTTTCCATCGCTAAGCGCTGCGGTTCGAAGAGCTCAATTTCGCGCCGCGAAAGCCGACCCGCGCCGAGCGAGTGTAACGTATTTCGCGGAGGGCCAAGCTCGCGTAATCGTGGCGAGCCCGCGTTTTTCGGGGCCGCGAAACAAGTGCCCCCACCACACATAATCCAGCGCTCGCAGGGCTTGCAATTCTGCGCCCCCGCGCGCTATCCGTTTCATATGCACCACCCGCTCTTATTTTCCGTTAGCAAAACGAAACACGTTTTTAAAAATGCGTTCGAAGCAGCCTCAGCACACTTTTGCATCCCGGTTAAGTCGATAGGTAATACGTTGATCGACGGTGATGGTTAAATAAAATTACCTTACAGATTTCAGCGTCACAGGTCTAGAAAGAATAAACAAAACCTTATTATAAAAATATGATAACTTCCGTTTATCTCAAAGGTAAGAACACTTAGTGTGCGCCGAAACGTTCAGATTCCAGAAGAACGTTTTATTATCAAGAATTCTTTTGACCTAATTTCGTTTACTTAGTTTCGGCATTATAGTCCTAATAAGTTTGTTAGAACAAAAAAAAAGACAACAAACGTTTTTATAAGCTTTTGCCAGCCCTACGTTCACGGACAACAGCGCGCACAGGAACGCATACATATTCAATTAGAGCCATTTGTATTCTATTTATACGCCAGTGCATCGGATTAGCTCTCACAATCGCCGCCCGCGTCACGCGTCGAACAAAGCTCCCGGGATTGAACCCGTGACAACTGTTGTCTGGCATTAAACGGAAATCGAGCGCTCGTATCGACGCACTAATCCATGGCTAAGCGTATCACACCCCGCAAGACAACCTAATTAGCTCAATTAAAAGTGCTTTAAACTGAATTTGCTAACGTTACTATATCTAACGGACACCAATGACGGACGATTTTTTTGAATTTTAAAAAATTTTGAGAATTTTAACGAATTTCGATAAGGAATACATAGTAGGCGTCTTCAAGCAAAAACTATCTACAGCCTAATAGCCACTTACCATCTGGATACGCGGTCAAGATTGGAAAATTTCTTTGAAAATGTTTTTTTTTTATGAGATTTATTTGATACATGCGTTTATGACATTTAAATGTATCCAAATTTGAGCTGTATGTTTTGCCATCCATTGAAAACCAGGCATCGAATACTTCTTTTATTCCCAACCAAAATTATGGCCTAATTCAAAATAAAGAATCTTTGTTTTGAAAAAACATTAAAAATTATACTATATTATTACATTCAGAAATTGTAATCGAATCATCATTTTCACCAGGTAGGTAATTCATAGTAAGGGAGAGTCTATTTAATGAAATATACTTAATTAAGTCCACAAGATCAGAATTGCTCAGCGAGCTATGGAGCGGGCCATACTCGGAGTATCTCTGAAGGATCTCCGGACTGACATAGGTCTAAGGCTTAGCAAGTTGCAATGCAGTAGGATGGCCATATTAGCTGCAGAACTGATGACCGCTGAGGTAGACCACGTTAATAGTGAAGAACTTAGTGTGAAACGATCTTAGTGATGTGAAACGATCCCTTCGTTGGGTTCTGAAAGTATCGTACAAGATGGCGAGCAATGTAAGAAGCCTATAACGGACAGTGAACTGCGATAAGCTTATTACGATGACGGTGATTTAATTTAAATAATTTATACTCCAAACAAAAATACAGTAATATGAAACCTTACTTTGAAAATAAATGTAAGTGCAGTCTTGCCTAAAGAGATAACCCTTCGACTAATAAACACGCGAGAGAATAAAAATAGAACAGGACTAAATAACGTGAATCGTTGGGGAAACATAAATGAGATTTGTCACTCGGAAAACTCGGTTGAGCGGAGCCTTTATCAGAAGGAAATTCTTTCACTTGTGCCCGGGATTGCGTGTTAACCTGGAACTCAGATATTGACTTATGACGGCTGCTGGGGTATAGGTCGGTTTATGAAACGAGTTTTCAAGCGATAATGTGATAAGCGGGCAGCTGGTCCACGTGTCATTAATTGATTACCGCCGCCCGTGGTCGGCCACAACGTCTGTGATATTGAATGTGGCTAGAATGTGGGCCGCGGAGCTACCTTGATGACCAGACGAAACGTAACCGTATAACACTAACTCTACATATATGTGGAGAAGTGATTATCGTCCTGAGAAGCAGGCTAATAAACGGGCCGTGCCTACTACAGCCCCGAAACAATTAGCCGTCGATTGAACAAAAAAAGTTGTCCCGTGTGAGAATCGAACCCACAACCCCGGCGCCGAAGTCAATACATTGGCAGCCAAGCAACGGAATCGTCGAACATACGTGACATCAAATATAATGTGTTCTTTATTTATACTTTTATGTGTTCTCAATAAGACAAATCGTCAAACAAGTAAAAGGCGCTCGTATATAAAGTAAAAGATGATTGTAAGAAACTCTGATGGACCACCTAGTTACATATAACTATAACACTATATCTACCCACTCTACTCTACTGTATAAATTCTCGTTCATCCGAGATAAGTCGTTCACCTCTCTCAGACAGCCGCCCTGACGGTCCTATTCAACGTAGTGGCGTGAAACTTTCCAAAGCGGAAAATACTAAAAGCGACAATTTCATTCGATGTAGCCCGCCTCAACGAAATACATATCTTTGCATCTCTTGAATTCAAAACGAACTGCATGGAGAAGTCTTTCATGACTTTTAAACAAGCATCAAATATCGTATTCGTACCACACAGGGAAACAATGTCTAAAGAGTTTAATTTATTCTCTTCCTCTACGATGATCTTCTATTCTTATTAGTAACTGAAACCTCCGCCAGTTCCTTAATTTAATCTTTACATGATTTTTTTCTGTTAACGGTTTATTTATGTTTAAATATTATAACGATCTTTTAGATTTACCAGAATAATGCTTACTTTAATTGAAACAATCTTACGGATATTACCGCTTTAAAGTTGTGACCTTGAAAAGAAGAGACTTTATTTCTCTTTTTTTTTATTGAAAACATTACCCTTACTTTAGGTTGACATTATCCTGGGTTGTAAGGACGTTATACAAACATAAAATTCACGTGGACAAATACCCAGATGCGAAACAACTGTCTGTGGGTCGCACAAATAGTTATCCCGTGTGGGGATCGAACCCACGACCCCCGACACCGAAGCGAGAGGCTTTTGTTCAACAGTGGACGTCTTGCGATTTATAATGATGATAAGGATCGCATTTAATTTTTCTGAATCCCTTTTAAAGGTCATCGTATGCCCCGTGACTGAATCCAAACGATATAAAAATACATAACACCACTAACAAAAAAAAACTATAAAAGTCCCATTTGAACCCATTGTAAATTTTATGTACACGTGTTAATGATGAAACTAAGCGGATAGATAATTTTAATTGAGCACACTCGTATACCACACAGGCTGTCCAAAGACACGCCGTTTCAACTGAACTCGTTTGCACCAATGGTGTATATATAATCGAGTCGGATCGGATCCGCGCGAATCGTTTGAATTCCAAACGCCATATGTTTGCGATTGGCCGTTGTTTGTAAACGGAATGTTCCAACTGTTGTTATCACCTACAAACTAGACTGCGGCCGGCACGTTTCTAATACTGCACGCCGTTAACCTATTACAGGCGCTGATTTACAATATCATACGGTCATTTTGAAACGGCGAACATCACGATCTCGTGCGGAACGATCGATTGATACTGTGACAAGTTGTTAGGTATGGTATTTAATCAATTGCTTTTATTTGTTCTAATAACGATGATATATTTGTCTAATGAAATGTGGGCGATGTAGATTTTTCTCCTCGAAGCGTTTGTTTACCGTTGATTCATTTTTTTTTATTAAAATAAAAGTGTTTCCGTGAACATGGACCGGATGAAATGTTCAATATGACGGCAATGAAAACAAAAATGAAATGCGAAAAGCGCCGAAAACAAGTGTTATTCAACAATATTTAGTACAAAAAATCATTGTTATAAAACCGTTCACCACATACTTCCAAAAGCTAAGGCAAAAAAGAAGATAAAATAAAGTTATTATTGATATTTGCTAACAGATTGGATTTTTAAAATAAACTTTATAGTTAAAATCAAATCGAAATTAAGTCGAAATAAAAAATACATTATAATTTAGTATAGAATTTTTTGATAACATTTTTTATCTATTCACAAGTAATTTCATATTAATTGCCTTGCACCAACTACCTCACAACAAATCTCGAAGAATCGTAACGAATTGTCAAGTGAAATGCGAAATTCGCAAAATCCCCGAGGCAAATCGATGAGAGAGTGAAATGGGTCGTCTAAGCGGTTCACTTCCTCGTTCATTAACGTGCGGTAAAAGTGTGGAACAGTTTGCGAGTCTCAGTCTCTCCGTCCAATTATAACAATGGCGTCTTCGAGGCAATATTGAGTAGAGCGTTTAACCTACCGCTGCCTACCTTCGATGGTGACCTACGACTTAGGATGGTGGTTAGGCACTGGCTGTTACATAATTTAAAAAATATAACTAATGTCTTTGGGCGGCACGAGCGCGAAACGATGACACGTTGCCATGATAGCTCGCTAGTGAAAAACTTCCACGTGACGCGGGCAGGACGGAGCTCATTAGAGGAGGAGGGGGGAAGCACGTGGGAAGGGGGGGCGGCGTTTGAGGTAGAAGTGACACGGGCCCGCGAGGAATGACTGATCGTCCGTCACGTCGTCGTCGGCGCGCGCGCAGCTCGCCTACCGTTCGTTATACGTGTGTCATTTAGTCGTGTCCCGGGCGCGGTTGAATGCAGACGCACGCGTCATGGCGTGACGTGGTCGTGAAGTGGTGTGAAGTGAAGTGAAGTGAAGTGAAGGATGCGCGGCGAGGCGGGCGGCGCACGCGGCAAGGCGGGCGGGGCCCGCGCCAACGGCAGCGGCTACCCGCCGATCAGCGCCGCCTATTGGCTGCCGCCATCCAACCCTACCCCCTATCACGTGCCAGGTGCGATGCTTGCACTATTTCGCCGGATAAACCACGCATCGATATCGGTATCGATTCGACCTCCAAGCCACAGACGCTTTCAATGCGAGATGATGCTCGCATGCAACTAACAATACGAGTAGTTATCTCGCTCAAGTCGAGGAGGCTTTATTCTACTCCGGTGCAATACCGGATAGCCTCGCATCGATATCATTTCATAGCGTACATCGGTGTAGCTCTAGCTTGGTAGGTTAATCCAGACGAATGTCGTCCATCCATCGTTAGACGCTATGACTGAGATCCCAATGCTGTTGCGCAGACCGCTCCTCTTGAGGTTCCCGCGCTGGCGCATTAAGTAAAGAGTGCGCACCTGACCTGACATTGACCGAAATGCTGACTGAGCTAAACTAAACCGTTGCGGTGTTTCGCATAAACTGTTGGAACCAATCGGATTGTTTGCTGTTTGGCGTTCAGTTTTGAATCGTACCTGCTTATCGCCCTAGCTGCACTAGTGTCGACACGCTTATTCTTTGCATAACTGGAACGATCTCCTTGACGTACTACGGTACACAACGCAGGAGACCTAATTATGTATATTGCTTGTATTGCTATGAATTACTATTGGATTATTTATGCTGTCGTTATATTACTGACATTGTCGGATACAATAAGAACTTTCTGATGTATATTCGTAACGAATTATACTCATGCATCATTTACCAAACCTTGACAGGTCGATAGAGATAATTTTGAAAACAATAGAATTCTTTAACATAATTATATACGGATGATTTTATTGTATGAACAAATATAGTTAGGTATTTTTCTACGCGGGATATTTGTTGTTGAAACTATCGAGATGAGGCATTCTAAAAGTTAAACGATTGTTAGTGCACCTTACTTTGGGGGCATTGGTCGCAACAGCTGATCTTTACGACCGTACTTGCTTACGTCATTGTTCGCTCCAAATCGGCCATCGGTCCTATCAACAATGGATTACGAATCTCGTGGAATCTTTCAACATTGTAATTTAGTCTTTATCACCCTCTGTTCGAGCCCGGTGTGTGGTGACATCTAATAGTCTGCCGCGTTCGGCCTGATAAGACCGACGAGGATTATCCTGTAGACAGTATACCCTAAATCCTAGAGTTACCTACATACACGATATAGTTTTATTTTTTTTATGTGCGAAGGTGGCAAGCGAACAGGCGGTTCACCCGATGTTAAGTGATAACCGCCGCCCATTGACGTTTGCAAACACCTATATGGTTGCGGATGCGTTGCCACATTTTAGTAAAGTGGGCCCCGGTCACCTTACTCAACAGATGAAACTCTGAATTATAACAGTTCGTATTGGAAGTACACGTCGGTCTTCTGTGAGGTCATGGTACTTTCCCGGACGGATCTGCCCATTCGTGCAACAGTGAAGACTGTTGCGTGGCCCTACCATAGTCATAGTAGGAAAATACGAAATATTTAAGTGTAATGTGAAAAAGCGCCATCTTCCACGTGCGTCAAGGTTTGTTGTGTAACACGCTATGGCCGTCGCTTAGTGATTATCCGTTGAGTCAAAATCCAATATGCGTTCGCGTAACCAACAAACTTTGGGAGGTGCGATTTATCTTCAACGCTGTTGACACGCGGGCTCACTACCATCTGGAGGAAAGTGTGTTAAGCAATCGTTTGTACGCTTACCTAAGCGATTTGTTCGTTCACACATTACTGTGTATCTCGCCAATTGATGACTTCGTGGCGCAGTTGCTAAGGTATTTCAACTTCAAATGTTCAGATTCCCACACGAGACAACTATCCGTCTGACCCACATATAATTGTTTCGGATCTGAGTGTATGTCCACGTGAAATTTATGTATGTTAAAGGTCCTTACAGCACAGGATATTTTTATCCTACAGTAAAGAAGCAATGTTTTCGAAGGGGAGACTACAATAGATCTTTATAGGTCACAGTGATCGTCGGGACTAAGTAACCAACCAATTCAACATAAAATGCAATACTTCTTCTTCTTCTTTTTCGTGGTCTTCATTAGTGAAGATCGTGTCCGTCTTGAAAAACTTTGAGGGAATCGGTGACGAGCGGCTTCCACACCGCTCTGTCTTCGGCTTTCTTCAAGGCAGTGGAGACTGGAAGCCCGGTTATAAGTTTTATTTGATCAGAATACAAATTAAATGCAATACACTCACGCAAGTTTACACTTTGCGAGTACGCCATGGAGAAACTGAACAATTTAACGCCTCACTTTAAGTTCAATGGTTTCACTTGACCCAGTACAGCGGATAGCTATCTGAAGCATCGATGGATATTTTGACGTCTTCAAAAGAAGCAACTTATTTAGCGATTAGATTGTAACATTTATATTATAACAGTTATTTGTGTGATCATCGGTATTAAAACTCCTCCTTAACTGTGGTAGGGCCACGCAATGGTGTAAGTACCACGACCTGCCTAAGACCGGCCTAAAGTAGAAGTGTTACACATCTGCGTTTCGTCTGGTGAGTGAGGTAGCCGGGGCCCACTTTATTTAAAGGTGGCAACGCTTTTGCAACTGTACGGGCAAATGTCCATGGGCGGTGGTTATCGCTTAACAACAGAGGAACCGCATTGTCACATAAAAAAGTAAATTAAATGGTCGCTATTCCTAACATCTATTTCGGAAATCTATTTCAACATGTTGAAACAGTCAACGAGCTCAAGCAAAACGCTAACGCTGAACAATAGCGCATCATTCGCTGACAGCAACACCCATACGTCCGCCGTTCAGAGCTAAACATAACAGTAACTACGATACTAATTTATCTAGTTAACGTACGTATATTTGGCACAAGCTGATTACCTGCACAGAGCACTATACGATAGGGCACCGATGAATATCGACCGATTAAAACTTTGCAATCAAACGAAATTAGTCTTATTTTATTTCATTGTTTTGAATTATATTTACCTTTACAATGCTTCTTATATAGGTGTTAAATAAGTATTATGCTGTTAAACTAACTCTGAAGTTTAGCACTGACGTGGGATAGACATACATTCCGTCTTCAACCTTCTGTTTAATAATGGCTTTAAATACCATATCATGATTGCATGTTTCAATGTATCTTAGTTAAATTCAATACTAATACATTGTTCGAATTTTTGGCATCAATGTAAGAAAAGTTTTAATTTTGTCCTCTCATTTTACGTAACTTTAGTACTTTTTGTGTTTGCTGTGTAGGTACATGATGCAATTATTTTAAAACAATGCTGTTCTTTATTACAGGCTTTGTTGTCGCTTCTAATCGTATCTATCTGATACATAGTTAAAAAAGATATAAACTTAGTAGATGGATTACCCAGGCTCTTACCTATATGGGATCCAAATAGGACTGTCTACAATCCAGGTACCGTTTTCTTTAGCAATTGCGAGAGGACGACGAATTATCATACTAATAATCTCATAATCACACTAAAACTCTCCCTTGCGCCATCTATGCACTAATTTAGCATCTATTTTTATTATTATTTGCCTCTAACCTGAACCTACTCTGTCCGCGTCGCAACAACGAAAATAAATGTCGACTTGTTTCCTCGTTTTGCATTATCCTCGTGTCAGATGCGTCTACAGCGGTGTGGAGTGACCCGGGCGCCGGCAAAGTTTCGTTGTAATTTACCGTTTGATACCTAAACTATGGCGCGCCGCTTAGACCGCACGAAACGTGCCGTGGAAGTAATACGGCAACGGATCACGTGCAACGCTTGTCTGTCGTTTTGGACAACGTCATTTACGAATATTGATTTAATGAGAGACGGCGTATTTTGAATCATATGACGTGACTTGCAACAAAGTCTGATATTACGCGACGAACGTAACGAATGTGGGTTAATGCTAATTACGTCTACGCTAATAGTTTTTTAAGTCTCGGCAATAGAATGCTCGTTTTTGTCACATCATAAACCTCGAGTTTGGGTAATAGGGAAGGAAAATGTTTATTTAATTCTCCATAGCATTTAGTCATGTATCAGGTTTTAGCCGTTATAAAATTAAATAATAACAGCAAATCGCAATTCTTACGTTTAGGTTTCTGAAACCCATTGAAGATCATTTTGATCAATTCAGAGAGTTTAACAATCCTTTTGGCAACTCAAATAACATTTAAAACAATTTGACAGCTGATTAGTTGACTTCTACGATGATCAGTCTTTCAGAAACCGGGCGTTAATATACGTATAAAATAACTAATAAGTTCGAATGGTTACTTGATTGAAGTTATATTTCACCGTTCATTTTAAGCCTAGTCGATTAATGTATATTTGCTGATAGCAACGAGGCGATAAATGTTAACTTAGGCTATAAACGTCTTACCTTTTTGCAATGTTTGCAATATAGAAGAATCGGAAACCTTGGTAGGAACAAGCATTGTTTATTGAGCAATTAAACACGGTTTAGTAATTAGTATTTATTTATTTTCTATCGATTTGTGTTCATAATTTTAAAACGAAAGTTTCACACATCATCCGTGGTTATGGGACTTGGTTGTGGTTTTATTTAAAATTAGAATTTTAACTTGGACTAAAATAAAATAATGGGATAATATTTAATTCATATATTATATGATTTATGAATATTATTATATGATTAAATCCGTTAACGTAGTTTAATTTAAAAATAGGCAGCATTTGCTTGAATAGTTTGAAATCATTGTGTACTTTATTTCAATCCTGACCTCAATTATGTACAAGTTGGTGGTATCATCAGATACTTACGTGAACTTTATATATAATTATAGTACCTTTCGGCCACGATTTCTTCTGAGTATTTCTTTTGAAATAATTGTTTATTTCTACAGCATTGAAATTATTCTATGAGTTAACACTAAAATTCTTCAAAAGTCATACGGCGGTGTGTCGACAAGTGGGTACGAACACGCTCACAAACCGCATTGTTAAAGTAGTTGAGCGACACAATAGCGCAGTTATGGGACTGACAAAGTTGCCTTGTGACGTTCTCTGTCTTAACTCGATGGAAACGTGACGGTTTGCGTAAACGGTCTCTAACTGACGCGGGAAACGACACGTGAGTCGGCTTATTGTCAATCGATATAGCCATATTGAATTCTCATAGTCATGTATTAACAGCTGTTTTGTTATAATTGACATTATCAGCTAATCCCTTTATACATAATTATATAAGTCAAATGTTTTTTGGCTTGCTTCGACGTATTAAATGTAAAGTTTGGTTAATATACAACAAGCCCTGTTATCTCCAACCATAACTCTGTACACTCCAAATAGCAACCGACTAGTTGTCGAACGCCCAAAAAGTAACACCTTGTGAGAATAACATTGCTAAACAAATGTGTT